CACACACACACACACACAAATGCAAAAATACCAAAAAAGAGAGATTTTTGTAGCACATGTTTTGTGGACTTCTACCATTTTAAAATTTGCTTTCACCCATGCTGGGGAACTGAAGGGGCTACATTCACTCCCAGTGAACAAGCTGCAAGTGTATGCTGCTGTAGACACATGCACTGGATGCTTATGGCATCTGACACATGTGCACCGTAGCATGCAAGATGCATGGTTTGCTTCATTCCTTTGAGTTGCCAGCTCTGGCAAGGACCACTGAGAAACACCCAGATAAATAAATACTAATAAAAATAATAAATACAGAAGTCAGCATGCTTAGCAAGTGTTTACACACTCATTACTCTGTAACGATGATGCGCATGATGGGGGTAAAAACACACACGCGCACACACCAACCATCCCAATTACAACTGAGGGGGAGAGGGGAGAAAAATAACCCGTATAAATAAATATTTAAGCAAGGTCTCAAGAAGAGCCATCTGCTGATTCTCTAATAATAATAATAATTAAAAAGAAACTATAGCTAAAAATATAAATATACGGAGGGAAAAGCGAGGCCTCCTTCATCCTGAACTAGCTAAAGAGGCTTGGTTTCCTTGCATGAAGGGGGGGGGGGAAGGAAGGATCATCCCTGGGCAGCTTTTGGCAAGGCCTCTTAACGAACTCATTAAGCTAATTGTGCTGCACAGGCACAATCCCCCTCTGCCCCCCTCTAATTTAGGGCTTTAAAACAGGTTCTCTCTCTTTTTTTAAGCACATGTAAATTAAAGCACATGTAAATTTGCCGTGGCTGCCAAAAGAAGCCCATGTAAGCTTTTGTATTTCAGAAAAGTGTCATCCTGCAGTCCTCTCCCGTCACTGACTGGTCCAAGGGGCACGGGGTATGTTATATGGGGAAAATGTGTACTGAACTTCCAGAGGCTTTTTAGTATATATAATGAAAAGCCAACTTGAGCGGCTGTGATTTTAAGTGGAGGAGTGATGGGAGGGGGGGGGGGGAAAGAGGGTGCTTAACCCTTTCCCTGCCTCTGGCTGTTTTCCCTCCTCAGCTTCAGATCCTCCCCTGCTCCTCAGGCTGCTTTTTCAGTTCCAGGCAGACCTATCCCTAACTGGCTTCCTGAATCCCACCAGGCTTTCGAGTAGGGGCCGCCCCCGCCCCCCCCACTACGTACAATCTGGGGGGGGGGTTGGAAGAGGCCCTGAGAAGAGCCCCTGAGAAGGACTATTAGATGCTATAGACTGCCTGTTAAGAACTGTCTTTGGATCTGTCCCGTCATCTGGTTTTAGAGTTCTGATTATCACTGAGCACTTTATGTGATTTAGGACTGGGTTTCTTTTAAATTGTATAGTATGTTTTAAATTATGGATATATTGTTGTTTTATTGTAGCAAGTTTATCTTGCCTTGTGAGCCGCCCTGAGCCCTACGGGGGAGGGCGGGGTATAAATTTGATAAATAAATAAATAAATCCCCTCCGGAAAGCCTTCTGGCCACTGAAGTGCTAGATGCAAGTCCAATGGCAGCTTAAGAGACCAACAAGATTTTTGGGGTATGAGCTTTTTCATCAGAAACAAAGTGTAACGTCAGAAAAGCCCTTGGCAGTGACACTGGCCATTACTCACAAAGCGGAACCTACACTTTCTTACTAGTTTTTGGTGGTTTTTTAAAAATCTGGCCAAACGGGACATTCCTCCTCTGAGCCCCCCACCAGCACAGCCCCGCTGCCTGCTGCCATTCCAGCCTGACAAGGACTGCTTTCCCTCCCTTCGATCTTGAAAAAAGACCAGCTTGTAACTAATGAGCTTATAACTTATGACCATACAGGCCCACTGTGTGATTTAAGGTCCCTGAGGAGGAGCCTTGGGAGAAGGAAAAATGAGCATGAGGCAGCAGGGATGGGGGGGGGAGACCCTCCCCAGTACCCGTGATGCCCACACATCCTTTGGCTCCAGATCAATCAACCTGAAGCAACAGTCTCCCCCCCCCCATTGTGTTTCTTACTAATGTGGACTATAACAAATTCTTTTTTTTTTAAAGGAAAGAACAAACTAACCACGCTGTTATCTTCACTTTGAAACCTAGCTTCCTTTCCAATGTATTTGACAAAGTGGGCCATACACGCGAAAGCTCATACCTTGAATAAACCTTTGTTGGTCTTAAAGGTGCCTGACTGGACTCTAAGTTTGTTCTATCTTCATTTTACGTCACCTTATTTTCAGTATAGCAATGCAGACACAAAAAGCTCTTCTCAGCCAGAGGAGGGGCCTATCCGACCTAGCATCCTGTCTCCAATAAAGGCCAGCCAGGTGTTTTGGAGGAGGCCTTCCTACAGGGCATAAAGGCAATGCCGCCCCCTATGCTGTCCCCCCTCCCTCTGCACTGGCATTCAGAGGGATGCTGCCATTAGACCTGCTAATTGCCATAGCACTGAGTGTCTGTTAAGGGGCAAAATCATCTGTGCCCAGAGAGAGATGGTAGTTTTCCGGGGAGATGGTGGCGGAATGAACGAGAGCTCACTCTTTGCGGGGTGTTTACTTGCCACTGGGAACACCCCTTTCTGCAAGGGGTTTTGTGCATGTGGCATGAGAATGGGATAAAGGCCCGGGCCTCTGGAAGCTGTTCTTTCTCAAAAGGATGGGCCAGGGAAGGCTTCCTCCTGGGAGCAGGCAACGTGGTGGCGGCGGTGGGAAGTCGGTGTGGATGTCAGAGAGAAATGGAAAGACTCAGTAGCCACGACTGGTTTTCTACATTTCACCCAGACAGACAGACAGAGACCCCACCCCCTCCCCCTAGGCACTTCTGTCCCAAGACCCCCTCCGCCCCTTTCCCGAGAAACCCACAGGGGGGGGAGGGATCGGCCTACCTGGCAATATATTTCTGGTAAATATTTACATCTTCGGTGACAGCTGGTTTGTCAGTGGTTAATCCGTTCCTAATGAGAAACACACACAGGGCAGAGATGGTTAGCGAGGCGGTGTCACGACACGGTCCAAGCCCCTCTCTCTCTCGTTCTCTCTCTCTTTCTCACTGTCCTCTAAAGCACTGGTCACATCCCAGGGTGGCAGTTGGGTGCCCGGGAACTTTGCGCCCCTAAGTCCACGGGGTCAGAACAAGCCCTGCAAGCCTCCTCTGTAAGTCTGGCCAGCTTCCACCTCTTCCGCTTTTCACCACTGCTCCCCTTCCCCATCTCTCTCACTCTGCTCCTTGGAATGGCTGCTGGTGTCCCAGTCTCAGATGTCACGATTCCCTGCATGCGCCACTGTCTGCCCAACCATGGTCTGATAAGGACATGCACTGGCTAGGACAAGCACGTTGGGAGCTACTGTGGTCAGGAGGTGTTTGGGACAGTAAAAGTACCCGGGGAAGCAGGTGAGGGGGAACCCGCTGGCTTACTCTACAATTTACAAAAAGAAGGTAGCCTCCTCTGACCTGTGGGATGTCTACTAGCCAACAGCGTAGCCTGTACAACAGACACCTTGCCCTGAGGGGAAGAGACAGTGGGGACTGCACCCGTCTTCTCTGTACCATCTTCTCACATGCAAAAGACACAGCTGCTTCACTCTCACCCCAAGCACTAGCTCGAATCCTGAGCAAAGAGCTTTTGGCTTCCCGAACCCCTTAGAGGATTCTCACATAAATGCACGGCACACGAAGGAAACCGCGCCGAAGCTCGGCACTGAAACCGTCTCACTTCCCCCCATCCCAAGGAAGTTTTGTGGGCAGAGGAGAGAGTGCACTTGAGGTTCATCCCCAACCGCGGTGGAAAAAGAGAGCGAGAGAATGAAAGGCAGGAAGGAAGCAGAGCTGGGATTGTGATTAACAGCAAAAAGCCAAACATGTTGAGAGTTTGGAGTCAAACAGCTGGCTGCTCTTGGCGCTCTCGGGGCGGATTCGCACAACTGAAAATCCTCCCAGGCCAACTGGTGACTGCCAGGTGCATTTCAGCAAGCAGTGCAGGTGAAGTGCTCATCAGATTGGCCTGGTGTGGGACCAACTGGACTTTTAGCCTGCAATAAATGGGGGAGGGAAACATCTGGCTGTGACCACAGACGGAAGTCACTAGGCTACTTGTGCTGGCCTCTTTAATGCAGCTAGGGCCAATATTTTTCTTCATGTCAGTCAGTACTTTGCTTGGCTTTGGTCCTACTGGCTAGCATATCTAAACTTCAGTTCTTTCCCTCCCTTTCAAGTTTCTTTTGCAGCACCCAGCCTCTCCAAACTCCCAACACCCATTCTGTGAAATGCAAAATATTCGGGAAGAACAGATTGTGCAAGAAAAGCAGGGGAATGACTGGCACATCAACGGCTGTCTGTGTGTCCCAGCACCTATTTCATTAGATCTATTTTATTTTACCTACTTCTCCCCTCACAAATGAGAGGTAAAAGGTATATTAGCACAGGAGGGATCCGGAGATACTGGTGTGCCTCGTTCATTTCTTCGCCTCTATACTGACAACCTGGATGAGTGGGGAAGGCTCCCCAGGCAGAGGAAACAGGGTTGCACTTACCTGTAACTGATGTTCATCAAGTGTTTTCAGTGCAGGCACACATTGGGACTGCACAGAAGATCGAAGATGAACTGAGCTCACAAAGAGGACTCGCAAGCTGCACCAAAACTGCCAACTAGTGGTTGGCTAACTAGGTTGGCCAGTGGGGTGAATCCACAGGGCAAAGCCTGATTTCTTCAACTTGTTGCCTCAATCAGCAGACTCATACGGGAAAACGGGGGTGGGGGGTTGGGGAGTTGATGAATTTTGGCAGTGGCCCACCCATCCAGGCCATGCAAAATGCGTCCCCGGGATCTCTGGATCTGCTATTGCCCAATAAATATAAATATATATGCACACATGGCTGAGGATACACTGAAAATATTCTCAACATGTGTCCAGTGCTCGGCAGCTGGCTTCGGCCATCAGCTTGCATCTTAATTCAAGAAGTGGAGCTCAGAGGATGACAACAGAACAACCACCAAAGAAGAGGTGAGAGGAAGAGGGGCAGACTTACTTAACAGTGGAAACCGTTCCAGTTGTGATGGAGTCCGTCTTGGAGAAGGTGGACTTCAGGTACTCTGGAGTGTTGAAGGGCAACGAGGCCGGCTGCTCGGGTCCAGCCACCGATGTGCTGCTGGGGGTACTGGCAAGGGGTGCGGGGCCCAAACTGGGCGTCGGAGCTTTGACTGGGGGGAGCTTCTGGATGTTCCTTACATCGTACTTGGAAGGACGGCCCACTTTGCCCGTCTTGAAGGCAATGGCCCCTCCCATGTCTGGGCTCCCTTCCCCCGGCTTGAAGAGATGCAAGTACTTGACATTCTCCAAGTCATACTTGGAGGCCTTCTTGTAGGTGTTGCCATTCTGAGGCCTGATGCTCTCACCTGTCTTCAGCTTCTGGATGAAGAAGTCATACTTGGAGGCCCGAGACATCAGCCCTTGCATCTGGGAACTGCTGGGAGAGGGCAAGGGCAAAATGGTCGCTTTTGTCTCTGGCAGGAGTGAGGCATCGGGAGCCGGTAACCGAATTGGTTGTCCCAGACCTGGGGGAGCTTCCTTGCCCAGTTTGCTGGTCAGCTCCTCCACCTTGGCTTGGTGGATCGGCCACGGGACTTGTTCCCCAGCCTTCAGCTTGCGGATATACTCCTCGTACTTGGAGAAGCGGGCTCTCTTACTCATGGCGTCCTCGCCTGCAAGGGAGGTGGCGACAGCGGCTGTGGCAGCCTCGGAGGTAGAAGCATTCAGCTTGTCGAAGCTAATCTTGCGGGCCAGCTCATCCCGCATGTTCTGGTCATCGTAGCCAAACATGCCCAGAAACTCGCTCATGGTGGTGGCAGCGTAGTCCCGCAGAGACGAAGCCTCCCCTGGAGGAATCAAAAGGAAGCGAGAGAGCTTGTCACTCAAGAGGGTGGGCTTCCCCTTCCTTCCTGTGCCAGCTTCCGGAGTGGGGAGTGTGGAGAGAAGGGAACATGATCTACTGACGTTTGGCTCACTTGTTCGGTTTTACGACTCTTAAATTAATTTGTTTTTTTAAAAAAAGTAATTAATACTGGGGTAAAATAAAAAGAGTTCATCAATGCCAGGAAAATCAATTTCCTAAATGTTCTAGCCGATGGCTTTTCAGTACATTAAACAAAGTTTCATAAATGTCTCTGCACTCTCGCCTTGGCCTAATATGAAGAAGAAGTAATTTTACTGGAAGTGAGGCCACTGCCAAGATGCCAAAGGCGTCACAGCTTCCCTTCTGCGTGCGCGGGTGGCAGCCAGGAGGCGGCCGGGAGGGGAAGGAGTATGGTGGGGATTGGGAGAGGAAGAAAGGTGGCAGGAAAAGCAGGGAGTGTGTGTGTGTGTGTGTGTGGAGGGAGCAACAGGCAACACGTGAAGGAAGGAAAAAGGTTTAGGGCACACTGGCAAGGGAGAGGGATGTGTTTAAGGACACTGGCACAACAGGGTGAGGGATAGTGAGAAGGGAGCAGGAGGAAGGAGGAGACACAGTTAAGGCGAAATAAAGGAAAAGGCAACGAGGACAGTGAAAGGAAAAAGGGGAAGATCCACTGTGAGGAATGAGGAGAAGGAAGAGGGGCAGGAAATGATCCAGCAGTCCCCCTTTCCCACCTCTACCCTCTCTTTCCCCAAGACCTAATTGGGTTGAGTGTCCCTCCAATCCCATCACCCCCATCGAACAGTTTGAGATGGATTCAGACACACAGCCATGGGGCAGTGCGGTGACAAAGTGAAACACTGAAGCTAACACAGAGTGCTCAGCATGGGTAGGACTGTTCATGTTTCACTGGTTCCCAAAGTGCCCTCAGGGGCACTGGAACGATCCAGGTGGGCTGGAACGATCCAGGTGCAGATCCACAAACTGCACTTTTTGTCCACTTCTGGAAGGTAGGTGTCCAGGGGGGCACTGAGTAATTCTTTTTCTGAAAAGGGGGCGGTAAGTTGAGTTTTCAGAATTGTGGAGTACAGTTTTGTATGGTTCTGGTCTTAGAATCTCCTTGCTAATCTATTGTTCAGTTAGTGATGTCTGGTGGGCTTTTCCCATAGTCATTCTGGCAAATGTTATGCCACACATCCCATTGGTGTATCACAGGTTCATGAAAAGCTGGAGACAGCTTGATACCATGCCAACCCTTCTCCCAACCAACCCTATCGGGATATCTTTACTCAGATTTCAGAAAAAGATAATAAATGGGTTATCACCATATCCTAAGCAACAGAGAGTGGCCATGCAGGAAATCATGAACCCAACACATGAATCGAGCTTGCATAAGGGTTGGCTCTTTGTGCCAAATTCCCCTCTGATCACTGGTCCACCCCATGCAAAGTTGGTTGTGTGAATCAGGTCACAAGAGAAGAATGAGAGCTGATTCACACAACTTTAAATTACAGAACTGGGAGCAGCTTCCTCAAGGTGACCCGAAAGGCAGAGGTGAGATCTGAACCGACATCTCCCAACTCTGAGCCCTACTCTCTATCCATGAGGCCACAAGGGCTCTCTTAAAACCCTTCCGAATGATCTGAGATCCAGACTAGAGGTACCAACTACCATCTGCCAAGAGATTTAAGACGGGCCCTCTACATTCAGAGGCAATAGACCTCTAAACTGTCAAAAGCCAAAAGTAAAGGTAAAGGTTCCCTTGCTCGAAAGCCAGTCGAATCCGACTCTAGGGTTGCGGTGCTCATCTCCGTTTCCAAGCCGAAGAGCCAGAGCTGTCCGAAGACATTTCCGTGGTCATGTGGCCGGCATGACTAAACACCAAGGCGCACGGAACGCTGTTACCTTCCCACCAAAGTGGGACCTATTTATCTACTTGCCATTTCTTGCTTTCGAACTGCTAGGTTGGCAGGAGCTGGAACTAGAGATGGGAGCTCACTCCATCATGCGGCACCCGGGTCTCGAACTGCTGAACTACTGACCTTCCACAGCCTGCAGTTCAGCGTCTTAACCACTTGAGCCACCGCAGCTCCTTGGTGTTTAGTCATGCCGGCCACATGACCACGGAAATGTCTTCGGACAGCGCTGGCTCTTCGGCTTTGAAATGGAGATGAGCACCGCAACCCTAGAGTCGGATTCGACTGGCTTTCGAGCAAGGGAACCTTTACACCTTTACAAAAGCCAAAACTGCTAGACAAAAAACAGCAACCAGTCAACTCCCCCTGTGCCTTGGAACCAGAAAAATGGACTAGACTGTGCTTTGGGCCTGATCCAGCAAAGCAAATCTTACACTTTTATATTTTTAATTCAGTTTATTGGAAAAAAGGGGAAAGACGGAAGTATTTTGTCCAGGGGAAAGCGCTCTTGTGATGTGCTGGGGAAATCCTTCTCCCGCATGAGGGTCTGGGGGATGGTCTGCAGTTGGGACAACCGATGGTTTCTGGGAGTGAGCTTTGACTCTCGAAAGCTCCTTCCCTGGAGGTCTCCTTGGTCTCCACGGTGCTCCTAGACTTGAATCTTAGCCGCCCTCTGAAACTATCTTCTGGGGGGAGGGGGGTGATGGCTTTATTTGATCCCTGTATCTCAAAGGGAGCTGCGGTGGCTCAAGTGGTTAAGACGCTGAACTGCAGGCTGTGGAAGGTCGGTAGTTCAGCAGTTCTAGACCCGGGTGCCGCATGACGGAGTGAGCTCCCGTCTCTAGTTCCAGCTCCTGCCAGCCTAGCAGTTTGAAAGCAAGAAACTGCAAGTAGATAAATAGGTACCACTTCGGTGGGAAGGTAACAGCGTTCCGTGCGCCTTGGTGTTTAGTCACGCCGGCCACATGACCATGGAAACGTCTTTGGACAGCGCTGGCTCTTCGGCTTGGAAACGGAGATGAGCACCGCAACTCTAGAGTCGGACTCGACTGGCTTTCGAGCAAGGGAACCTTTACCTTTACCTATCTCAAAGTAAAGTGGCTGGCCCCTCTGTGGAAGACAGAGGCCACATCAATGGACCACCCACAGACAAGTCGGCAATTGCTATCTTCCTGGGGGTTTCCCCGGGTATGGGGGAGGAAGGGAAGCACAACTAACCAAAACAGGGAACGGGAAGGAAGAGACACCTTCCAAAGCAACTGGACAAGAACTGAAAATGGGCTGCCGGGCGCCGAAGCTTGAGAGCAGCTGTGTGCCAGTTAGAAGGATAAGGAGGAGAAACCAACCTGCTCAAGACCCCGGGAAGCAGGGGATCCTGAAAGGGAGGGTTTTGAGGGGTGGGATTTTCCAAACTTCCCTGCAATTCCTTGCAGGATCCCAGCTTGTTTCATTTGGATTTGCAAACCACTTTTCAGTCCAGAAATGAGCCGCTAAGGAGACCTACAGGGCGGTTTGGCTGGATGTGAGAAAGGGCAAGGTGTGTGTGTGCTTTACACATTCATGAAAAGGAGGACTGAAAGATCACCCCAGGAGGCCTGCATGGTTTTGAGTGGCCGGTTTTGAGGTGGCTCCTTCGGGGCCACCTCGATGTCCTTCAAGACGCCCTTTGATGTCACACCCAAACTTTCACTTTTTTCTCCTTTTCTAAGTCAGAGGGGAAAGGGAACAGGCACAGAGCTGGGATCTGAACCCAGATCTCATAGATCCAAGTCCAGCTCTCTATCAGCGGCACCAGTGATGATGTCAGACCATCTGCAAAAGATCCGTGGGGACAAGATAGGGAGGTTCTGAAACTACAAGCACCGTTCCGCATTTCTACAATGTCCAAAGGGTACATGGTGTTGGACTAAGTAAAAGCTGGACCGACTCTGCTCCGGGGGGCTTTATGAAACCAAAACCAGCCTGGCAGAAAGTAACGGGGACCGGTTGGGGAAGAGTGAAGGCCCGGGTGATGTTCGAGTGCCTTTGCTGAAGAAGGAGAGCAAGGAAAGGACTGAGCAGAGCGGGAGAGGCTGCTCCAAGCAAGAGAAGGGGAAAGGAGGGCGGAGGAGTCCGTCTGCCTCCTGCCTCAAAATAGGAACGCTTGTGTGGCACCTGAAGTGCTTTTCAGTCCTTGTCCATATGCCCGTGTGGGAAAAGGGAAGCTCGTTTTAAAGGCACTTGGCTCAGGTTTCTGGATCAATTAATGGTCATGCGGGAAGGCTAATTTACACTTGCACCTCCCCACCCCCATTCATTCTGGCCAGAGACATCTCACAGACCAACCTGGGCTTAAAACATTTCAGGATTTAGGAGGCCTGACTCTGCCTGTGGCTGCTGGGGTTGCATAGTGCCGCTGAGACAGGAATGGGGTGGGTGGGGGTGGAGTATGGATTCACCTGCGCCACTTCCTCCCTGGTCATCCTGGTGTGCCGCAAGCATCGCATTTCATGTTCATGCGCCGCAGCACTAAAGTGTTTCCTCCAGCCTCAAAGCTTTTGCCCTTTCACTGCCTTTCCCTGGTGTAACCCTAGAGCCCCCAACAAAAGCGATTAATCCCCTGCAATCCTGCCTCTCCCAGGTCTAAGATTTCCCTGTTCCTGCTAAATCCGTCTTCCCCGCTTCTGCTTTTCATCTCTCCTCGGACCTGTAAAACGATCCCCTCGCGTTTCTCCCCCACCCCCCCTCAGTCCCCGTGTGGTGAAATCCCATCCAGTCCTGAATCAAACCACACAGAGAGGAGCAGAGGGGGAATCTGAAAGGGGAATTAAACTGAAGTCTCCTTTTAACAAGTCCTGAAGAAGATGGGGAGGGGGAAAGACTTTCCCCTCTGGATTCTGTCAGTCTCTTTGGCAGAGAAATCCTGCAGCAATCGTCAAGTCAGGCCACGCAAAGGTTAAGCAGCCAAACAAATAACAGAGGCAGAACTTGGGAAGTAGGGGAGCCGTGAAGTACAGCACAGCCAGCCCGGGACTGACGGCAAGACGGCTCTCTGCCGCTTGGGGCTTTTGGGACTCTTTTAGGAATC